CTGGTTTTATTAACATTGTAGACAATTTGCACCGAGAATCTGTGCGTCGGTTAGTACTGTGTCAGCGCCGAGGATGTGTAGCATTTGAGTTCATGTGAGGCTGCCGCAAGTACGAAAATAATAAATTGGATGCCGAGTTGGCTTTTCTGACGAGCTTGGCTTTTTTATTCTGTGTATTAATTTAAACAGGTTAAACTGGTTGGGAAGTTCACCAGCATGACCAGTTTAACAGCATGACCAGCATGCCAAACTGGGCATGCTGGGGCAATAACCCAGCTTGAAGCTGGGACCAGATCAACCATCATGACCAATATGACCAGATCAACCAGCATGACCAGCATGCCAAGCTGGGCATGCTGGGGCAATAACCCAGCTTGAAGCTGGGACCAGCTTAAGCTGGTTTTTTCAATAGGGGGTTCTCCCCATAAACAGTATAAACAGTGTGATTGCATAAAGGGTGTTCTTTGTTTTGGTGTAGCGTGTTGGAGCACTGCTTTCACTTACTTCGACGGTGGAAAGCATGCCTGCATGTATTAAATATTGTAATAAGCAATGAGTTTCACCACAAGTGTTGGAAACAATAACTGGACAATAAAACTGTCCGTGCTGTTTAAAAATCTTTTACTTCTGTTCTCGCACATATCTTTATAAAGACGAATACCCTATGGCACTAGTAACACCAAGAACATTGAACTATCTGCCGTGCACTGAGAAAGATTCGTGTTCCATGAATGAACGCTCTAAAAAACTCAGAACTTGAGAAGAAAAAAGGAACCTCGGAAAAACGTCCTCCGAATTTAGTACAAAATACACCCCAAAAAGAGAGAAGTCTAAACATGGCTCACAGTGTTAATGTTGGGCACATGGCAACTGAGAATTAAATGTTGTCTATGTCGCGTTATGCGTGTATGCTTTCATGTTCATACATATGCTGGGTAACCTAATGTGCTTGCTTATAGGACAAGAGAGGTTTCCGCACTGCGCACTCACGTAGAAACGCTCGGCAAGGCTGCTATCCCCATGATTTGTAGCGTCAGAACCAATGCGCTAAATGCTGTGGGAGCCACGTGTTCCCAGTCTCCCTATCTAGGCCTAGCACAAGCAGGCCGTGGGAGCGTTATGGCGACGTCATCCCGGATACGGGGGTAAGGCCGCATTCCTCGAAGAGGGCGTGTCTTCCCTCGCCCTTTTGGGTGAAAGTGCCTCCGGCGCACCCTTCGGAAATGATTGTGGACGCGGCCCATCTGCGGGATAAGCCACACTACCTACCCCGGGCGCGTCCACTTTCCGCTGGCTAGATAAGCGGCCGCGAACGGCGGCCCTGACTCTCGTCCGGGTAGGCTCTGGGCCACGGAGCCTCGTTCTTTTTGGAGCTTTCCCCTTTCCACGACTCTGCCTAATGCGGCAGCGTGGGCCCCCTCCAGGTGAATCTGTCTAATGCGACAGCGCCGACCCTTTTTCCGTTCTTTTCTTTTATTAGTTTGGCCGACGGGCACAGCGTGGTGGCACAGCAGCCAAATAAACCCGCTTCTTCAGCATCTTTGTGTTTTGGAGTGAATCCTCTCCTCGGAGTCCACGGCAGCCTCCGGACGGACCCGGCCGTAGCAGTCCTCAACATCGAGCTACGGAGTGGGATCGACCTCGTGGTGCAGTAAGGCAAGTAGAATCCCACATTTGGCGCCCCAACGTGCGGCCTGTCCGGCGACTGCAAACAAAGCAGCACTTTCGCAATGACAGCGAACCACGCCGATTTCCGGTCAAGGATCAAACAGGTGGACAAAGGGAGAGGCGAACGCCCAACACCCGATGCCACTCAATGGCTTAGTGGCCGCGTCAGCCACGCAAAGAGACAATAGGGAGTTTTCGTACACCGCGTTGCCCCCTCCGCTAAGCGTTCCGCAACGAAGAAGTTGCTACTGCGCCTGCGCGCCGATAGCCTTGACTGTGGAGTTCCCGCTATCGCAGCGGGTTGCGGAGGGCCTTGCGGGACGGCGAAAACGATCTACAAAAACTCCCTATTAGGGAGTTTTCGTAGACCGCGTTTCCCCCTCCGCTAAGCCCTCCGCAACGAAGAAGGCGCTACTGCGCCTGCGCGCCGATAGCCTTGACTGTAGAGTTCGGGGTATCGTAGCGGGTAGCGGAGAGCGTTGCGGGACGGCGAAAACCATCTACGAAAGCTCCCTAATGAATAAGTGTCTCGGCCGAACGCCCTCCCACACGGAGGTGACTCAACGCCCGGAATGCGTCCGAGGGATTCCCTTTCGGGACGACGCCAGCCTACTTCGCTGGGGGAGCGCACCTGCGCTTTTCGGGGTCAACCCCGTTCCCGAACAAAGTACGTTGACGCAACAAGAAGCAAGTGCAGCTTTTTGCCTTTGAGACGGGTCGCAGGGCCCACCCAGAGTGGACACCCCGTCAGCGCACAAACTAAAAGCGTATCTCGGAGCGAGAAAATGCGCTGTGTCTGCATTGCCCCACTGCTGGAATACGCAGCGCGCGTATGGAGACCGCCGATGGTGCCCCTCTACGCTGCGACAACGGACCAGCAGTCAGCACGTCGACGGCGGGACCTTCCCGGATCCAGAAGCGAGATCGACCATCCACGGAGAACTACTGAGTGAGTCCTTTCATTTTTCTCCCAAGCCTTTCCGTCCCCATCGAGGGAACAGGACTGGCGTCAGAACGGTTTTCGGAAAACTAACTTTAAAGATTTCCCGATCACCCGCGATTGATTCCGGCAAGAGTCAATGAGCGTCGCACGTACCGACATCGTTAAAAACCTGTGACTCCGAAAAAAAAAAAAAGCGACGTCGAAAACGTTGCGGAGTTTGGGAGACGTTTAACCAGCGCTACCGGACAAGCGCAGGAGGTTGAACAGCATCCCGGAAACGTGGTAGGAACCGCGACGTAATTGCGTGTCATAAGGTGACCGCCATGCGGTCCCTGGACGATATCGTGAACCACGGCACTCGGGGTGTTCGTTGGGAATCGACCGTAGCACCGATGAGTTTTTGATGCTCAGCAGAACGACCCGGGGTGTAAATATGTAAATAGTTATAAATACTTTCGCGGACTCTGCGGAGTTGGGCGGTGCGTCCGTCGGGCGGTACGCTTGCCACGAACGTCGCTAAGCCACTTGTTTTGTTGCAGACGGGCTTTGGCAGCCGGGCAGCGTACCCGCCGTGTCGAGCAACTCGTGTTGTTGCCGACGTGTGTGCCGTGAACAGTCTCGTATTGCTGTTGGCACGGGTTTTTTATTTGGGATCGGTTTCTGTTCTTGCTGCTGCGGATAAACTCGTGCTACGGCGCTTGGCCTCTACGAACATTGCAGTTCAAGGTGGCTGTCCTGTGCGGCTGGGGGTTGCATTCGGTGCTCTCCTAGTTCGCGTTGGCCAGGGCAGCACGCGGCTCCAAGACTTTTCGAAGTTAGGTCGCTGTGCTATACCTGGCCACAGGAATTTGTGTTTTAGCCTGAGGTAAAAGCTAACATGTTTGGAAAATAACAATGTTGGCGAGCCTGCCCGATTGCAGCCCTGCATCGTTTCAATATCAAGAAAGGACAGGGTGGCGCATTTGACATTTCATTGCGCCCGCAAATCGAAGCGATTAGGCATCGTTAGCAAAAGCAGCTACAAAGAACTTTGCCTTTTCGAATAGTCACCAACAAATCCATTGTCCGGGGTGACGCGAGTCAGCTTGGTATGTGGACATCCGTGTTCACATTAAGCGGAGTCGTGGAACTATTTTCACAATAACTTCGCAAGCCGAGCCAGTGCGATGCACGTGACTCACGGCAGAAAAGACACCTTTGTTTCTGCCTTTTTCTTTTTTTTTTATCTCTGGGTCCTTGAGCACCCAGGGATGGGTCGAGTGTCCTCAGTTGGACGGCTCGACCTTGCTCGGAATTTCCGAGGTTTCTTGGGGAAACAAACGGTAGAGGGGTCAGAGCACAGGTTGCATTCCAGTACCAGGCGGGTGTGAGTCATGGCGCGGCCCACGAGGAGGACAACAATGCCGGGGCAGCGTCATCATTCACCGGGGCAACGTCATCATCGCCGGGGCTGCCTGTCCCCCTGCCGGCCCGAAAGACTTGGTCACTTCCGCTGTGATCAAGATGGCGTCACGCCTCCTCCTGCTGCCTGGTTCCGTCTCCAACCCTGGGAACCTGGAGCTGGGGCTTCGCTGCCATTCAAGAACTTCGAGTGTCATTCCCCGACACACTACGCCATCACGGCGACCCTGCTGCTGCCCCACCCAACCTGCAGATTCCCGTCCCGATGCCTGGACCCCGCCTGCAAGCCACCTGCACTGCGGGTGGGCGCTCGTGCCGACGCCAACACGGGACGCGTCGTCGGGAGACGCTCCGGCGTCGTCATTCCTGGACTTCGGCCAAGACATCGTCCTGACCCTGCGCCATGGTGAGCCACGGACTTCAACGCCGGGAGCGTCCCCGAAGATTTTTTCATTTGTCAACCCCAGCATGTGGGGTCGGTACCGGACGCGGTAGTTTTTTTTTTGTTTCGTTTCGTTTGAGAGTCGGTAGGCCAATTTTGTTTTTTAGTCCTACCTTAGCCTTAAGGGGGGAGGAGTGTGGGAGCCACGTGTTCCCAGTCTCCCTATCTAGGCCTAGCACATACTGAGCCTCAGTTCACACTCAGACCGCACATAGGTTGCAGAGGCCACTAGTTGGTTCTGTCTTTAACGTTCATGGTAAAGTCCCCCATCACAATCAATGTCCCTGTATGGTGTCCTACATCACTTTGGTCACTGGTACATGCACACTGTTGAGCATCTGGTTTTGTACAAATGTTCAGTCTGGCCACAAGTTATTTTTCTATGAAAGCGTGCGGATGGCGCAAGAGCTGCCGAGCTGTGCACTCATTCTTCAAAATGTTTCTGAAAACGATGTAGGATAACTGCATACCTTGGTCATTATTAAACCTTAGTGTGGTATAAAGACTGTTAGTAGCACTTGCAACCAGTGCTTTTCTTTTCTCTAGCCCCAGGTTGGAAGGGACCTCAAGGGGCTCGAGCCTCAAGGCCAACACGCAAGGACCTACCAACTGCAAAACGGAAGGGAGGCCGAGAGGCTCCACCTGCAACGCGGAAGGGAGGCCGAGATGCTCCAGCCCCTGCCCCAGCTCGGAAGGGAAGCCGTGAGGCCCCAGCCCCAACAGGGAAGGAAGGCCCAGAGGGGGCTTCAGCGGGAACCGGGCAACGCCATCAAGCTCTGCAGAAAGGAGCTGAGGGGTGCGTTATGGATGGTAAGCTGTGGACTGGAAAACGGATACAATACTCTGCTCTGCAGGCAGTGTGTATCAGTTACTCTACCAGTGTGTAGCTCACTGTGTTTCGCTGGATGAAATAATGTTGGCATTAGCGGACACCACGCCAGAGTTTTACAATAGCGTTTCTCCACCTGAATTCAAAGCACCTAAAACGCAAAGCTCAAACAAGATGTAATCACAGATTTCTTTGGGCATGCAAAATGTTTTAGCCATAAAAAAAGGCAACAATTTTGACTTAACTCCTTAAAGGACACATGCAAAGGAAAAAAACATTTTTTTTAAACGGCTTAAATGGAAAAAGGACGCCATAAAACGATTTTGCAACGAAGAAAAAAAATTTTTAGAGCTATATTTACGGCACAAAACGAATTTGTAGTTGGCGCCCGCGGGCACCGCGGAAAAGTGGTCCGTATTTATCACGTGACTGGTTCTTATTTATCACGTGGTGCTTGCGTTCTTTCGGAAGCTTCCTATGGCCTCTAAAAGTAACTTATTCATCTTTGTTTGAAGTATAACAAAAAACTAAGATGAATAAGTAACTTTTAGAGCCCAAAGGAAACTCCTGAAAAAGCGCAAGCAGACGTGATAGACCTGTGCGCCGGTCAAACGACTGCGGCGGCGTGGAGAAACGCGTTGAAGCGGCGTTCGCACAACGCTCAGCGTGCGACGGCGACGCAGCGGGGCGGCGCGCGGGCCTACCACGTGACTAGCGGCGGCTCCCGTGAGCGCCAACTACAAATTCGTATAGCGCCGTAAATATAGCTCTAAAAAATTTTTTTTTCGTTGTAAAATCGTTTTATGACATCCTTTTTCCATCTAAGCTGTCTAAAAAAAAATGTTTTTTTCCTTTGCATGTGTCCTTTCAGTGCCACATTTTGTTTCCCCAAGGTACCTTAAAAGTGTCATTTTTTTTTTATTTTGAATTTTATTCCTTTTGCATATAACACATATAATTTGAAAAGTTTATTACAAAGAAATGAAGTGAAAAAAATATTTGCCAACTAATACGAGTGCTGCCATCTATGATCAGTGCCGCAAAACTACACGGACCAGCCTTGCTCGTCCGTGGAATTGAGGGCTACCGAAAAAAAACACTGGACGAGCTGAGCTCCTCCATGACATTTTTAGCCAAAAAAAGGCCGACGAGCTCAGCTCATCCAAGGCACTTAAGGGGTTAAAAAAGTTTTAAAAATTGGTTGGATAGGCAGGTACGATGGGAGCTGGCATGTTTCTTAAAACAAGCACTGTCGTACTGCTTGCACCGATAAAGTTTTGGCTGTTTCGCCTACCTTGCTGCATCTTCAAAACAGTTTGTGGTACACACCTCTTGGACTAGAACTAGTATAGGTGCCACGCCGTTCAGTGCTAAAAACTTGCATTGCGGTGCTCTTTGAGCGCCGCATTCCAGCGTTTGTATGTTTCGGTTCTGTACGTTGGTACTAGCAGCGTCATGCACAGGCAACAGTGGTGACTTTTGCGCAATATCTAGCAAGCGCGGCAAGCTAGATGCATACTGATAGCGCTGTCAGTAAGAATCACCTGTCCATCTTTACATCGATCAATCCTATCTGCACCCATGCGCGGGAACTGCTCCGCTTCGCTTTACGTCCGAGCACAGCGGATGCTACAAGACAACAGGGTCAATCAAGCAGTGACAAAAGAGCAATGTCACTGTGCATTTTTCGCACCTGAATGGATGGCGACTTACTCCATGACGTACACATTGGCGCTCCTTGATTGGCCCTGTCGTCTCATAGCGTCCGTTGCGCTCATACTTAAGCTAGAAAGGAATGTGTAGGCCTAAAAGGTGCGTCAGTATGAATCGCGGAGCAGACAGAACCGACGGTGCTCTCAGTTTCCTGCGCTTGCTACAGCTATTGGGTTGGTGCCCGAAATATTTCGGCTCGCTCGCAAAGCATTGGCAGGATAGGAGGCTCCGCTACCGAGCCACGAAGTGCTTCTAGTAACGAGGCTAGGTATGTAGGAAAGTTGCTGAGATTTATTAACGAAGGCAGAGTAAAAGCATTCAATATAACGATCTGATTGTTTTTGTATCCAAAATATAGGCTTGGGAAAACAGCCCTCCCTGTTTGCCTTTGTGCTATTACATTTTAGCCCTGCAGCCTGCACTGCGAATTCAGTCTTCCTACTTTTCCAGCTGATCTTTGGAGGTCATTGGTTTATTCAGTTGCGGTTGTTTGATTATTTCTTTAATCAAACTATTGTGTACTTACAGGATTCCAAACGGTAGCACTAAAGGTTCTACTCAAAGTCCAGGAACAAAACAAAGAAATTTTAGAACAAAACAGTTTGATAATTAGGCAACAAAATGTCATCCTGGCGAGGATCGAAGTCCTGGAGGAGAGTCCTCGGCAGCCAAATGAGCCTCCCCCACCTGAGCTGCCAAGGCTACCATTAGAAACTATGAAGGAGTTTGAAGAGGTCGAGGGCTCTCTACAAAGTGCCACCCTGAGAGTTGCCTTGGTAAGTATATTTCTGGCATATTTATGTGAAAATTATGCAGCCTCATGGATACAGTAGAAGTTTGCTGAAACCTTTGTCAGAAGCCCATTGTATAAATGTAGGATCCGGAAAGGTTACAGAACTTGCAGTGCTCTTGAGGCCCAATGTATGAGGCAGGAAAGAGCTTTCATACAACAATTAATTTAGTGTGGATGTCCATCGGCTTACACCTAGAAAGCTAGAAATTGCAGTGGAATCTCGGTTGTTAAAACTCTTCATTCTAACTTGCGAACTGATGGAAGCAATGGATCCCATAAAAATGTATTGCAATTAGAGAAATCTCAAAAATAATTCAAAGGCACAAAAACAAAAACAAATCATAGAGGGTTCTTGCTAGCTCATACTACCAACCAATTTTGTGAGGACGGGAAAAAAATAGCAGCAGCCAAAACATTTGCTGATTGCAAAATTACCTAGGAAGTTGCTCAGAGTTCCTTGTCAAATGTTGCTCTTGTGTGCGACGATATCTGCCTGCCTTTGCGCAATGGGCGGTCGGCATTCAGCTAACTTTCTTGCTGCGCGTGTTTTTGTTGCATGATTCTATCATCCATTAGCTCCATGTGCAAGGCAAAGCCCACTTTCAGCACACAATCAAAACATTGGACTCCATTGCAGATTACTGCGCGTCGCACAGAGCAAGATAGTTGCAAAATAACGATATTAAAAAATTTGAGAATTATTATGATGATAATTATGTGCAGTGAAAAAAGAACCATATCGTTGCTTCATCTAGACAAATGCCTTGGCAGCACTCAGGAATGCCACCACACCAATCAAATGGTTACCATACAAAATTCGAAAACACTGCTTTTTAATTTTTGCTTGCTCCCTAACCTTATCTGTGAAAAATCAAACTTTCAGGCTTTAACCTGTCTAAAACATATTAGTTGTGAACATGGCACTCTTCTAATCACATTGGTTATGGTATCTCATCTAGCTACAAAATAGTGAACAAGTCAGAATTTTCGGCCTCCAAAATGTAACGACCAAACAGAAGTTTTTGATGTTGGAACGAAGCCTAAAGCAGCGTGAAGTGTAAAATGTCTTACTGTACTCTTTCTGGCATTATGCAGCACATTAGCACCTCAATCAAACTTTGCATTCAAACAAAAAAATGTCATGCTCCTCAATTTCGGTTTAACTAGATTCCACTGCACTGCTTGAATTTAGGTTTTTAAAATACAAGTTCCCCTCTGCAGCTCTTCACACATTTATTTTGTGTCAAGTGCTATATATGTGTTATAGTTGTGTTCAGGAAAGCTGGGCATTGTGGCATTGAGCAGTATTTCGTTTCAGCATTCACATCTGCATCACTCAAAAGTCCTTTGATCAGACAAAAAATCATGCCTAGCAATTTACAGCTGAGCTGACAATTTGAGAGACATGGTAGAAAAAATAAGTTAACTATCAAAATGGCGCCAGGGTCTTTAACTAGCGACACTCGCAAAATAGAAGTGGAACCAAAAACATAAACATTTAAAATTGCGTCCTGTCTTTTACAGATTGATGAACTTTAGTCTTACCGGGATTGACCAACAAAAAGTTTGCCGAGCACCACACGTGCAATCAGCGAGTGACCAGATATTAAAATATACGTTAAAATCATCAAAGAATAACAACCTAGATGCCTTTACACACGGTTCAATATCGTTAAAGAAACAATGAAATGAAAAAAAAACATTCAGCATTCTTTTTTTCCTGCCGGAATGGGTCAGGCATCAGTTAAAAATAAATTATGGTAGAAAAAGATTTTTTTTCACGCAATATTCACTCTGCAAATGCAGTTTGAGTTTTATGAGCTAAACCGAAATTTAGTTATTTTTGGGCGTCACACCGAAATGTACAGCTATTTCTAAGGTCGCTGGCTCTAAGGCAGTTGCGGTTTCAATTGTTAATAATTAAATCGTTGTTGGGTATTGTGGTAGCCTTCTGATGAACTTTTGTGTGTACAAAACAAAAAATTTAATTAAAGCTATTGTTCTATGTGGGAGCGATCTTGGTGTAGTGACTGTATAGATGGTAGTTTGTTTCGCAAATAACAAAATGTGGTTGGCGGTATATATATACTACATGGAAAAAAAAATTTTTTCTACCATAATTTATTTTAAGAAATGCCTGACCTGTTCCGGAACTAAGAAGAATACCGTAAAATACCGGGCAAGCGCCCACTCAAACTTTGGAGATAATCGCAAAAAAATCTGGGATGGGTGCTTGTCCGGTCATCAGTTTTACATATCAATGTCCTGTGCATATTTTTCAGGTCTTACAAATTTGAGAATGGGCGCTTAGTGTGGAATGGGCAAATGCGCAATATTCTACGGTATGTCTTTTTTTTTAGCGTCTTTTTAATAAATATAAGGAACAATAGTTGTCCCAGGTTAGACCCTCGGGGGACACCAAACAAGGAAAAAACAGAAAAACTATTCAAAATTCACACACTGCTTTTACGGTCAGTAAGATAACACTGAAACCAGACAAGTGTAGGAGGAACACCATAGCAATATAGCTTATGCAGAGGATATTTGTGGTTACGGTGTCAGGTGCCTTGGACATGTAGAAGTAAACTGAATCAATTTGCCTCTGAGTGAGGACAAGCGGCACGGAGTAGTCCAGGAACAAACAAAGCATCGATTTCAATTAGTCTGAGATTGCATTATTTTGTTCTTTAAGCTCATGAAAAGCGTAAAATATGATTATACAACAGCTACGGATTAAGCCGCTGTCAGCTTCAATATGTGTCTTTTGAAAATGCACTGCACAAGGTGTGTTCGTTCGTTGCTAGGACCTGTATCTAGGTACTAGAGAAGGTTCACTATATGCATGCATTTAGGCTGAAGCCCCAAAATAGTCACCAAAAATGTAAAACTGGCATTATATGTCACTACCCATGGAATTAATGCAAAGTGTGCCAGTTTTCTGTTTTGCCTACTTTAGGCCTTTTTAAGTCTAAATGCATTCTTCCTATTGTGAACTTTGCTAGTGCCTAGAATTTCAGGTCATAATTACACAACTTACAAATCTGATTATTTGCTGCTTGCTACCGTCAGTAATACTTGTCACTTGAAATAGGTTTCTTCCAGAGTGTATAGACCAGGGGTGCACAACATGCGGCCCGCGGGCCGCATCCGGCTCACAGGCACTTCCTGTGCGGCCCGCGGACACGACACTGCGAGATATGCTCAAGATGGCAACCAGTGCGATGATGCCAGATACTGAAAACCTCTCTGCCAGTTAGTAAAAACCTAAGCAGTTGCCAATAAACGTTTCTTGGCCCGCATCATTTTTGAGTTGTACAGCCCTGGTATAGACTCTCTCTCTTAATTTGCATAAGTTAATCGTTTCAATTAAACCATGTATCATTTAGCGCTTGGTCTAGCTCTTTATATTTTCCAAGTCAAAACATTCATAAGTTCATCTTTTTGCAGAGAAAGGAACTCTCAACCCTCGGCGGGACCACCCTCTCGAACGTTGTGCGCCTCGTTATGGAGCGGACAGTCCGCAAGGAGATACAACTGCAGTTCAGCCTCATGGGCCGAAAGGGCAAGAGGTCCTTTAAGGGCACGAGGCTGTATGATGTGGTCCTTGGTAATTGCTTTATTTTTACTTTTCTACTTTGAGACTATTTTGTCGTTTCAGGATATGCCCTTTATCAGTGATGTGATTGCCGCGCCATTTGCGCCAAACTGCACCGAAGTGCTTATTTTGCCACATCTTGCTACATTTAGCCCAAATGTGAGGAACCGGCGCCAGCGTTGCGCCATATCTTGATTTCACTTTTTTAATATAGAGCATATAATTAGAGTTCCGCGTTTTTGGTTTTTATTTTTTCAAAATTTGACGTACCTTTTTCGGTGTTTAATTTAAAATTCAATTTTAAAATAAACAGTGTGTGTAAAACCACAAAACAGTGTGTGCTTTTACACACACTGTTTTGGAAACAACATTGTTCAGTTGACTTTAGGATTTCTTGTACTTATTGCATTGGTGGTTTATTTTGCTAACATGTATCATTTCAGAAGTTATTTGTTCGTCATCTTGGGATTACCTTCTTGCCCAACACTAGATAATGGTTATGCCATCGGTAAAATGCTTCGCGATTCAAGATTTTTCTTGTGGATATTTTTACAGCGGCTGTCCGTGCCAGGCTCTGCAACCTGAGAGGGGGGGACAAAAGCAAGGAGCAAGAGCCGACCAACACGATACAAGACATCGAAAGGGCCCTTTCAAAGTGGCTGGCATCTGCAGCCGACAGGGAAGGAGGCCGGCAGCTGCGGGCCGCCCCCAAGGGCAGACCCGTCTCCAGCCCGCATCGTCATCCAGCTGGCAGTTCCCACTCTGGCAGCCGACACCCGGATGGTGGAGCCTGTACTTCTCGCCATGTTGGGAGTGCTCGCAGCCTCCTTCATATTCCTGGCCCCCATACTCCCACCCGCCCCCTCAACGCTTCCGGCCCCCATAATCCCACCCGCCCCCTCTACGCATCTGGCCCCCGTACTCCCACCCGCCCCCTTCACGCTTCCAGCCCCTGTTCCCCCCTCAGCCCCCTTTCTTGCGGAAGCCCCTCCCAAACCCCCTGTCCTAGTCCAAGGTGGTCGGACATTTCTGATTCGCCTTGAAATGCGTCTGTAAATAGTTGTAAATACAGAGTTCCACATTTGATGTCATAGTCATTCACATTCTTACGTATTTCGACAACGGCCATTTCGATCCCAAAATGGATGAATGATAACGGCCACGAAACAGTCCAAAAGACGGCTGTAAAACGGTTCAAAAGACGGCCGGAAAACGGTTGACGATATTGGCCAGAAAACGGTTGACGATATCGGTCACAAAACTTTCACCGTTATCGGTTCAAGTTATTGGACCGATCTGGAGCCGGGGTGCAAATCATTATGGGACCGTTATTTCTTAAAACTTTGACCGATATTGGTCCGTTATTTGTCCAATATCTTTGTGCTGCCTGGGCACGTGGTTTCATAGCTGGGAGCTGGCAACTCTTGGAGTAAGGTGCCGTTTTCGCGCTTCAAGCTGATGACGTCGGCTCGCTCCATTAGACAGTTAATGCTCTCTCATTAAAAATATGAACGAAGTTTATAATTTTCTGTAACGCAGAGTTAGAGCGCAGCTTTTGAGGAAAAGACGGCGAGGGTAAGGAGGGAAGGGTATTTCCCTCTTCATTCCCCTCTAAATTTAGCGGGGAAATTGTTGGCTAAATTTAGTGGGCAGTTTTACCGTCGCGACGTCACACGAGACGTAACGAGGGTAAATTTTGCGGGAATATTTTTCCCCCAAATTTAGCGGAAACATTTCTCCGCTCTATTTACCGGGAATATTCGCAATGTACGATGCATGTCACGTCACACGTGACGTCATACGTGACGTGTTTTCTGTAATTACGTCACACATGACGTCACGTGTGACTTCCCGAGGGTAATGGGGCGGCGTTACTTTCGTGACCCTCGGGAGGGTAATCCTCGTAACCCTCGTGAGGGTACCCTCCTAACCCTCGTGAGGGTAACCCTCTTGACCCTAGTGAGGGTAATCCTCGTGACCCTCGTTAGGGTAACCCTCGTGACCTAGCTGAGGGCAACACTCGTGACCCTCGTGAGAGTAACCCTCGTGACGTCACACGTGACGTCAAGTGTGACGTCATTATAAGAAACGACCCATAATGCAACGCGCGGGTACGCCGACGGCGACTGCGACGGCGACGCCGCTCAAGCCGCAAACGGGCGCCTAAGAGCTGGGCTCTATAAAAACAAATATGTTCGCTGAAAAGACTGTTACGGCAGAGAGAAACAATTTTACAACGGAAAATCCACAGGTGAATCATCCTTCCAACCAATCAGAGCCGAGAGATGCAAAGTATAATTAACAACGTTCCCGGGCGAGGGCAAGGGCGGGTAACCCCCACCTAACTTGCGTCTAACGGCGCAAGTTAGGTGGAGAGTTAGGTGGACATTGACATCATCATCATAAAAACCACATTGACATCATCATTCTATACAACATCATTGACATCTCAGATGTGTTATCTTTTCTGTGCAACATATTTAAGACAATATCGCTGTTTATGAGCAGATAAAATAAACGGATAATGATGATGATGACACCGGCTCGCCTCGCCGAGCCCCTCACGTACACGCGGGGGCTTTTGGAACAATCAGCGTAGAATGTGTCGAGCGTAGAACATTCGTACCTCGAAGAAGAAATAGGGTTCTCGAATTTATCAGAACACGACATTTACAGAAATGACAAAAGCTACTTCCGCTCCCAGGAGTCTAATCTCGGTCCTTTGCGTGGAAGCCAGGCACGGTAACCATTAAGCCAAGGACGCGCTTTCTCGGAGACGCGCTTCGCAATATGTCGTTTATTCTACCTCAAAATCATCTGGTGATGCGTTATATAAGGGTGAAAGCAAGAAGGTTGCATGAAGTTCCCTTTCGAAATTGTTGGATAGAATGCAATGTTGAGTTTGACGGAGGTTTTAATAGCCTCTTTCAGAAACCATTTATCGACCGCAACTTGTGTTTTTGTAAACATATACTTTAATACAGTTCCTGGTCTTACGCAAATCGCCCTATTAAAAATTCTTTATCATAGATAACCACAGACACAACTATCCTGTATTTTAACAAGCCTAGTATAATGATATGGCGCAAATAATATTATCTAAAAGTTGCGCGTAACAAATATTTCAAGTGTTGTATGTGGAACGCGTTATCATCACACGATACCCGTTTCTGTATATAACAATAAGAAGTGTTAAATAGGCGATACAGGCGAGTTGTTTAATGGCTAAATAAAAACAAACACAACAAATGCAAAGACGAATAGACGAAAAAGACGGGACCTTCGCTCGTCCCGTTTACCTCTACTCGTCTTTGTGTTGGTTGTGCTGTTTTTTTTTTCGATTAAGAAGTGTTAATTGTAGAAAAATAATAAAATGCGTTTTATTGATCCAAAAAGTCGATATTCATAAATTACTTTCTTGCACCACGAGCTTGGCAATCATACCGTTAATTTTTTTTTCTCATAACGGCTAAAAACAACGCACTTTCTAGCGAAAGTCACCAGGTTAGTTCTGGGTGTTGCAGCTGTCGTCATATTTGCAAAAAAAAAAGTGAAAGCCGTTTACAACTCCCTGTAACGCTGAATTGGAGCGCAGCTCTTGAGGAGGAGGAGGGAAGGGTACTGAGGGGAGGGTAGACCCCTCCTCCTCCTCCTCCTCCCCTCATTCTTTAATATACTCCGGGGGGTCACCTGACCTCGGGGGGAGGGGGGAGGGGGCCACGTGACCTGGGGGGCCACGTAATCTCGGGGGTCACGTGACCTCGGGGGTCACGAGACCTTGGGGGTCACGTGACCTTGGGAGGGATCACGTGATTTGCGGGTCACGTGACCTGGCAGGTCACGTGACCTTGGGGTGACCTTGGGAGGGGTCACGTGACGTTGGGGTGACCTTGAGAGGGGTCACGTGACCTTGGGGGGTCACGTGTCCTGGGGGTCACGTGACCTTGGGGTGACCTTGGTTACGCCGACGGCGACGGCAAAGCCGTCGCCGCTTAAGCCGGAAACGGGCGCCCAAGAGCTGCGCTCTAAAACTTCGGTGTTGCACCACACAAGAGATCAAAAACAAAATCGCAGCAGGTAGAGTGGTGGCCGAGTCCACTTTCAGGTACCCGGAGGGCACAAAAGGAACCTGCAATGCACTTTATATAAAAAAGACAAATAAAAAAAAAACGATGTAATGATTTATTTAACGAATCATGGTAAAACATGTTTTCTCAATTACTTATTCAAAAACAACCAGGAGTGGCCTTTAAAATGCTGTAACAGGAGAATAACATAAAAAACGAAACCGCACGACACGCGTCGTCCGGTTTTCGTCCTCTATGTTATTCTCCTGTAACACCGTAACTTAACCAGCAAGCTCCATTTCCACGAGGGCATTTAAAAGTGTCGCATAAATTATGTTTGTTTATCAGACTCGGAGGATCTTTGATCTAAGATAATCATCATCAGTTCGGTGACCATTCAAATATGTTATTTAGAATTACAATGTACTTATGTGGGTCATGTTGCAATTCAAGTGATTAATAGAGACGTTAATAGAAATCAAAGCAGATTGAAGTATTTGTGGAGAAAAAAAATATTTGAGATATTCTTCATTGAGTTTTCTCATTTTTCTAGCCTGATTCAGACACTGAACACACAATGTTCTCAGAAAACATTGCCTTTCATGATGCGCAAAAAGGTGTGGTCCTCTTTTCAGGCGCCTTGTCAAAGTCTCGGGAGCATGTCTCCGCTGAATTCGATGCCGACACGCTTTCAAGATATTAGTGAAGTGCAAGCAAAGAGTCACTCTTCTACGTCGCATTTCGGAATGGTCGGGATGCCGAATAAGTACACAGAAGTGCGCAGGCAATATGGTTTAAAACGGACATTCAAAATCCTCCTTATTTTATATATAATCGTGAATTCATTGAATGGGTGAGGCATGTTTATTACATAACCAACGGAGGCGGTGTGATTTCATCGCTTGTTCATGACACAGGCTGTGCTCTAAACTATTTTATAAACACTTTAAATATCATTATTACAACAAAAAACACTTGGCACGTATTTCGCGATGGCTATTATTATAAAATTATTAAAACTGTATACATTCTAAGGAATTACCTCTCACCATTCACATTGACGTTTCTGAGTAGAAGACACTTCTTGGAGTCCAGATAACCGACGTATGCCTCCTGAGTTTCATTCCCTACAAATAAAGAATAATTAATTTATTTAGGGTAGTTTTGCTCTAACAGAGACGACCTCGGTAAAGTTATTATGGGGAAGTAACCGAAAGTATAAGGAGAGGGTTGAACATTACACAGTAAGTGTTCTTGGAGCATGAAGTTGCATCGTCAAGGTTGTACTCATATGAAAGCTTTGAAATGGGCGCAGCCCACCCATGACACAGAAATTAATTTTACTATAAGCTCCAGTTTTGAATCAAGATTGGTTCTTAAATATATTGTAATGTTTGTAACATTTATTTATTTATTCTTTTATACACCTGGAGTGTTTATTATTGTTCTAGCTACGGTTATTCTCGATTTCTTTATGGCAATATTTTATACGATGCTACCTAGTAGTACATTTTTTGAAGTTTAGCCCAGCTGCGTTTGTTACGCAAACGCTTAAGTCATTTCCTTCGTCACCTAGCACGAAAACAAATTAATTACGCGAAGAAATCATCGGCAAAATAAACGTAGCTGCGCCACAGTTCCCGTGTCTAGAATAATGTTTGTTGCACGATTCAGAGAAAGAGAGATACAAAAATTCAAATATGATGAAGCGAGAAGGCAAAAGGCGGGGGGGGGGGGGGGGGGGGGGGCTGAAGAAGATATATTAAAAGTGTAATTAGGTTTCTTAGTAAATTTGAAGCTATTACTGCATTGTCTTTTCCGAAATATATAGATCAAAATATGCTTCACTAAAGGAAACGCAGGACGACCAGTCGAGCAGAGATACAGTCTGGACGGTGAGGAACCATTTTATCTCTCTAACTTATCAATCTGGCCTATCAACATAATCTCTGATTAAGCCATAGTGGCGCTAACACACCTTGTTCGAAGTTGAGCAGTGAAACTA